CTCTTGAATATCCACTTTAATAACTCAAGACTCTTCTTCTTGGCTCTTTGTGCATTATCCCAACTCTGATGATCCTTTGTCGCTTTAATGTCATTTTTATAATAAGCCCCGGCACCTAACATTTTTATTATCTTCGGTAAGTCTCTTTACCCGTCGCCTCACCGACTTGGGTGAAACTTTTATGACGCTTTTCCTCACACTCGGAAAAGAAAGGGAAGCGAAGGGAAGCTGACAGGGCAAATGCGTATTTAATTCCACTTGTGTAGCTTCTGCCACGCCCACGACATTGGCCCGGGGCGAAAGGCGAAAGAGCGTAGCGATTGTTGTTGATGCGTTAACATTAATAAATGTCAGCGCTTATTTTCAGTGCAGTATCAAAAGACTGAATGCCTTTGACGTTGACGCTAAGTTTTACATATTGCATACTTTCCAGCGTCCATTAGGCAGTCAGATAGGAAATGCACTTGAAAAAAAATGTATATCGAAACGTAAAGAGCACAAACTAAGATTATATTTCTCCAACTCCAATTAAATTGATTTCGGAAACTAAGATTATATTTCTCCATCTCCAATTACATTGATTTCTGAATATCGAAACATTAAAACCTCGATTAATATATCGATTAATAATCGATACAGTATTAAATTACTTATTTTAAAACTAAGCGAGGTAGGAAAATGAATTTGATATCTACAAACACTTATTACAACAATTCAATTATCTTATAAAGAAGCGTAAAAATCTCATCCCAAATAAAACTAAAAAAAATATACCTTTTTTAATTTTCAAATTGGTATAAATATTTTATCAAGATCTCAGTGCGAGATATTCCTCCCCCCAAGTGTCAGAGACAAACAGATGCTGATTGTCTGTGCTTTTTAAATTAATTAGTGTAATTTTTTGTCCCACTCAATCTCTGGTTGTCGGTCTCCTCAGACTCTCGCTCCGTTTGATAAGTTGCTGACAAGTAGATTTTCGTCATGGACCATTTTTCTTAAGGCCATCGTGGCCACACGCAATGCCTCTGGCATATTTCTGGCTTTCATTTTGGGCCTTGGCCATAATCGGCTTATGCCAGACAAGTGCAAATTGATAAATGCTACGGAAATGAAAGGAAAATATTGGGCTTAGACAGAGTGAGCTCTCCCTATTCCTCAATCAATCAGCCTAATGATGAATTTCAATTAACTTTAATCGTCAATTAAAAAATCAGGTACATGCAGCATCCACAAGCTGAATGACTTTTAGTCCTGTCTCTTTGGGAAAAAATAAAATAAAAGGACGGAAAATTCATCCGTTTTTTGGCCCACTAAGCTTTGGCTTACACACACACTCTCACACATCCTGTGTTAGACAGGATTTTGCCTTGGCTTCTCTCGTCTCTTTTTTTCTCACATTTTTTTCCTATGAACTCGTTGGAAAGTTTTCAATTTGACGGTGATGGAAAATCAGAGATGGGGGTGGTGCAAGTCCAACTACATATTTGCCTTCAATTTAAATGATGAGAACATTTCCTTTCTGCCAATTTCCCCCTCTCGCCAAATAACTCAATTATTTATTATTTGCTTGCAATTTGGCAAAAAGTGAAGGGAGAAAGGAAGGATTCTGCGAATTTTGGGTTAAGCTAGTAAGCCGGAAAGTAAGTTTGTTTAACTATTTTAGAAGGGACTTTGAGTCAAATGAGATTAAATATTAGGAAAGTTTTTTTCAGAGAATTTAGTTTATATTAAATTTCTAAGAACAAAAAACTTTTATCTAAAGGAAAATTTATTTAAAATAATGTCATTTGAAATGCATATAATCTAATCTTTAATCAATATTACAAATTCACAAATCATTTTAATACATTGAATAAAATCAATGACCTGTTTTTGTCAGTTACCTAAATAAACCGACATAGGCCACAGTAAATGTATAAAATTCCAATGCAAAAAAGCCACAAAATTGGGGACAAAATAAAAAAGAAAGACGAGTACTAGAAAATGAATAAAATGCGGGTCGATTGCACTGACTGACATATACTGCAATCATTTGATTGCAACTTTCAATGAAATGGCAAACAAAAAATTGCTCCACATTCAAACCGGTGAACAAATGAAAGCATCAGTAGAAACAAGGAAACTACGATGACGAGGACTGGTGTTCAAATGCCAGATGATGGGTCCTTCAGTGACTTTTGATATCCATCCGCTTGGCCCATTGAAATCCGGATCCCCCGGATGCATGGCAAAGGAAAGTTGAAATTAAAAACACTCAAGCTGTGTGTTATCCAGTCCAGCCACTGGAGATGCGAGATTGAAGATGGCCAAAGGACTAGAATGGGTCCAAGGATAAGAGGATAAGTCCAGGCCAGGAGTCATGCAAAAAGTTGAACACAAAAAAAAAATTGCCCAGCTAGGGAAATCAATATTATGCAGACGGGATAGATGCACATGGAACAATTGGGTATACTTTTATATAGTATAACTGAAGAGAATTTATTTTAAACTATAATAATAAATTAATGTTAAACAATAAAAAACTACCAAATAAATAATAAGCAAATAACAAAGCTTATGAAGACCCCGAGCTTTAAATTTCAATTGAAAAATCCTATAAATTGATTTTCCCTATACATAACTATTTTCTTTGTGTATAGTTACCATTTCACCTCTCGTGGAATGTGAGTTCAACTGTTGCACAGACACTTCGCAGCGACAGAAATGGCCACTTGACAAATTTCCCAAACTTTCCATGAACTTTTATCCATAAAATGGGGGCAGCAAAAGTTGCTCCTTGACCAAAAACCATTTCACATGGCTAATCGTCAAATACCAGAGACATGCGATCTCGATATACACCGACATGTCTCTCTCATTAAAAAGTAAAATAAACAAGCGCCAAAAAACTTTCTACCGAATCAAATGTGAACTGAAAAGCTAGCTGAAAAGCAACAGCCAAAAACAGTGCGGCAAAATAAAAAAAAGGAACGAAGAAAATGCTAGGGAAAAAACCACTTGAGAAAGCAGCAAAAGTTTTCCATTTATAACGAGCTCCGGGTCTCTCCAGTGGATAGCAGCAGAGGGCCGGGAGAGAGCTCAGGGGTCAGGGGTCACAGGATGGATGGCTTTCCCTGTCCCGACTGCTGTACAAATAGAAACAGAACCGACTGCGGACCAGGCTAAGTCATAAGCGATAGTTGAACGCGACTTTTAGCGTATTTATATATACATATGTATAGTACAGGGTCACTGTGGAAAATATATATACTAAAATCTTGGCAGTATACTCCTTAATAATATATATCAAATATACATCAAATATATATCAAATATATATAATTATATATAATAGTTAACGAAAGTCTTTTCCGTTTAAAGACACATTTCTGAACAGGAATCTATAGTAAATTCAATACCATTTCATCAGGATAAACCATAATATTCCCTAAGCCTTAATCATATGTATGTATTCCTTAATAACATGTATTATTTATATATAAAGATATAAAATAGTTAAAGAAATTCCTTGCCGTTTAAAGACAACTTTCTGAACAGGAATCTATAGTAAATGAAGCACGATTTCGTCAGAATAAACCATAATTTTCTCTTTATTTCAACTTCTATCCTTTTTCGAACTTTAATCCCCTTTATCATCTTAACTTAAAAAAACAATAAATATATTTTTCTCAGTGACAGCATCTGCAGGGCTATGTTATGTATCTTCTGCTGTCTCATTTTCGATGTGTGCTTGGCAAAACTTTAAATGTGGCGGTAATGAAATTGTTGGCAGCAAGTGTTGTCAACACTAATACAGCAGTATTCTGGAAACACACACACACACACACAGTGCCATATAGGACAGACATCATCAACACGATTTTATGGCATGGTTCCGGCAGAGAGCTGTATCCTGCAGATTCTCCCTGAAAAGCCGAAAAGTTCTTCGAAATGCCAACTCAATGGCAAATGTTCCCTCAACTTTAAGTGAGAAAACTGTGTTCAGTTGTTGCTGTTTAGGCTTAGGGATAAAGATACAGATACAAATGCAGATACAGGATACAGCTACAATTTTTGTTGTAGCTCCTTGTTTTGGGGTCACAGTTATGTGAAGCGCTTAAGATTCCAAGGAGGCGTCAAAAGTACTTTGAAAATCATCTGCTATTCGATTATAGGAAAAGTTTTTGTAGGGGATTTCCTACAGCCTAGCCTAAGTTGGTTAAGTTATGGGCTTTTGAAAGGAAGTGAGAGGGATTTGTTATAGCATAACAGGGTTAAGACTAGATATATAGCAGATCCTTTGGTTAAGTTTACTTGGACCTTTTGTAACAATACAATTTAAATTTAAATACCTCATTTCAGTAATTAAACCCTAATTATGGCAACCTTTCTACTAACCCATTGAACGTATTTGGGCTTCTATAAATTTTATATACTACAGCAATAATACTAATCAACTTCCATTTCAATTTCAACCAAATTTTAATCAATTTCGGATACATTTCATTACATTAATCAGCCAGATAATTACCGCCCACCATTTGCATAAATTAATGCACTTAAATGAATCGAATTCGAGGGCAAGTTTTGCGTTTAATTATCCGCTTAAACCATTCAGACTATATTAAGCAGCATAATGCAGAAAACAGCTGCCAGTTAAATTTATTTTCCTCACTTGAATAATAAGGTGATTATTAACATAATGCCTCACAATGAATATTCAGGAGATAAAGTGAAGGAAAAGGTCATAGCGTCAGTTAAAAAGGTAAAATGGGAAAAAGGTTTAAGGAGAGCATAAATGCAGTCTTTATAAAATTTAAAGGAATAATTGTAACAAGATTAAAATACAGTTCAGCAAACAGTATTACAAATATTATCAATTTGCAAAGGTTAACTTTAATTTCCATATGTTCTAAGAACAAAATGTATAAAATAAATAAATGTTAAAATTTTTAGCATCAAAGCAAGCCTTGAAAAAAACTTAAAAATGCAAAAATTACATATCGAAAGAATTCCTGAACTATGCTCAGTTTCATTCTCGCATTGTAAGAGTCGTGTGCCTTGTCCGATTAGGAAACAAAAAATAAGGTTAAAAAACACAATTTTTTGTTTTTTTGTCAAAATTCGTTGTTGTGTATCGTGAGCAGTGTTTAACAACTAAATTGTATTGAGTGAATTCGTTTAAGTTTTGATACCAAGAGGCACTACTACTAAATTCACGAATCTTTATTTCAACTTTTTGGAGGCACACGAAATTCCAACTAAATCGGTCCGATACAGGGATATATATATTAATATCTAGAAATATGAGCAAACTCCGCAATAGAAGCCTGCTGAAGATGATCCTCCAGGATCGATTACCGAGCGTAAACATAATTCGCAATTCCTGCACTGGGGAAAACGCCCCAGCAAAGGGTGTCGTGGTCGGCCTTTATCAAAAGGAGGGCGACAACGATCCTAAGCTAACGCCCAGTGGCCAAAGGATAGATGATCGTCTAAAAGGCAAGCTGGCGCGGCTTATATGTGAGTCAAAGATCACAGGTCATTTGGGATATGGAAAGGTGTTCAACAATATCGATCAAGAGTTCAAAAGGTAATTCTTATAAAGGGAAAAGTATATTACTTGAAACTTTCAAGTTTTTTCACACTAAACGTGCTTAAATATGAAAAACCCTATGCAGTTATTTGCTTAGTTAGTTATTTGGTACTTTAGGTACTGTTTTGGGCTGCTTATGCTATTCGCAGCTTTTCCTTTTATGATCTATACCGCAAAAAAGTTCAATATTGCTTCTTGAAATTAAAATTAAACCCTAACTAACCCCCAGCTTGGCCGTGGTGGGCGTGGGCCTTGAAGGCATTGGCTTTAATGAACTGGAAATGCTCGATGAGGGCATGGAAAATGTCCGTGTGGCTGCCGGCATTGGTGCTCGTTCCTTGCAAAAGATCGGCTGCTCGGAAGTCTTTATGGATAGCATGGATTATGCTGAGCAGGCGGCCGAGGGCGCTGCCTTAGCCGTTTGGCGTTTTATTAACAAATCTTCCAAGAAACCGCAACCAAAGATCCCCATACTAAATTTATACGATTCCCACGATATGGAAAGCTGGACGCGAGGTCTCTTTAAGGCAGAGGCCCAGAATTTGGCCAGAAGGCTGAGTGATACCCCGGCCAATTGTATGACACCCACTCTGTTTGCCCAGGCCTCAGTGGATGCTCTGTGCCCGTGTGGCATCACCGTGGAGATCCGTACCATGGATTGGATGGAATCGCAGCATCTCAACTCATTCCTAATGATCGCCAAGGGTAGCTGTGAGCCACCCGTCTTGATGGAGATCAACTATTGCGGCACCAGTCCCGAGGATAAACCCATTCTGTTTCTGGGCAAAGGGATAACCTTCAATTCGGGTGGCATTAATTTAAGGATTTGTAAGGGTATGGATGAATACCGGGCCTCCATGTCAGGAGCGGCGGCATGTGTTGCCATGATGCGTTGCGCTGCCGCCCTGTCGCTGCCCATCAACATCAGTTGCATCATACCATTGTGCGAGAATATGCCATCTGGGATGTCCTGCAAACCGGGCGATGTGGTCACCCTTCTAAATAACAAATCTGTTGCTGTACGGGATCTGGACAAGGCTGGTGTGGTGGTATTGGCCGATCCAATGCTCTATGGCCAAGCTACGTACAAGCCGCGATTGGTAATTGACGTGGCCACATTGGGAAGTGGTGTTAAAAAGGCCTTTGGTGGCGGTGCCACAGGTATTTTCTCCAATTCTCACTACATTTGGAAGCAGTTTCAATCCGCTGGCGCGCTCACTGGAGACCGAGTGTGGCGTCTCCCGCTGTGGAATTACTACAAGAAGCAGGTCACCGATAATCTAAGCTATGACATAGTCAACAATGGCCGGGGACTGGCCAGTTCATGTCTGGCTGCCGCCGTTCTCCACGAACTGGTACCTTGTGTGGATTGGGCTCATCTGGATACCAGGGGAACCGGCATGCAAACCAAGTTCGGTATAATACCATATCTCACTACTAAAACTATGACGGGTCGGCCAACACGCACCTTAGTGCAGTTCCTGTACCAAATGGCCTGTCCCGTCAATCAGCAAGGATCATAGATTGCCTTTTGGAGATCGAATAAGTAGATGTATTCATATAAGAGAGGACCCCGAAATCTCTTGTCAGTTGTGATTTTACCGTCTTGTGGAGCAAAGGCGTTTTCTCAGATTCCCTGTAGAGCGTCCAGTGTATTTAAATTTGCTGTGTGTATTACTAAATATATTAATATGGCGATTTGTTTTTAAGCTTAAATTGGAATGTTTTAATAATTGATTTCCATTTTTCTATTTTCTAAAATATTTTAAAACCATAAATTTAGTATCCTATTAAGGTTTCAACCCTAAAACAATTTATAAAAGTCTTATAAAAGCATTAAGAAAACCCTCTGATTAAATCCTTTAATATTTCATTTAAAAAACCACTTGATATGGTAATTGAATTGAATTAAATTCAACATTGATTAAAGTCTACGGCAAATGCCGCACACCTGGTCTCTTTTTCAGATAAATTAAGGAGACCTCCCCCCAAAAAGCTGGTAACGCTTTTCCTAGCGCTTTCACGTTTCACGTTTTCCCTTCCAATTAGACAAACAAAATTTTCCCAATTTTCACACATTTGACACGTTTCAGCCATTTCGAAGGCGCGGAGGCCAGGCCTCCTTTCAGCGCACCGCAAATGGGTTGCACATGAGAGGGTATCCTTGTGGCTGTCGTCGTCCTTGGCTGCCAAAGGAGGGATATTTGCATTTACCCCATATGAGAGCTGGCTGGCCGTGTCTTTGTTGATGAAATTGCTGCAGGATATTACTTTGAATTATCATAAATAACCGAGCAAGGCAATGGCAATGTTGATATGTGTCTGTGTGCTCGAGCTTTATGTGTATCCTGCGGTGGGTAAAAGGATCAGGTGGTCTTTACCGAAAACGTTCAAGGGTTGGATATTAAGCCAGGACCCTTTATGTGCTATATTACAGTGAAGAAAATTTAATTTTTTGAATCGAATAAAAATTTAAAAGAATGAGGGAGACATTTTTCTTAATTGTGTAAAGATTTCAGAATAGTTTACATCATTTTTGATAATAAAATAATTATATATTTCTATATACCAAAATATATAAAATACTTGAAAGGAAAGCTTCAAAATTGAATCCTAAAAAGACTACTTCAAATATTGTTATTTATTTCCATAATAAAAAGTTCTACTTTAGAAGATCTTTCCACCAAATCTTAAAAATTTATTTTAAAGTTCTTTAAGCTTTCTTTCCCATTTTTTTCCAGTGTAGATTTATGATATTCAATAAAGTAGACCCAACATATTTATCAGGTAATCGGGTTACCTCTTGCACCGCGCTTGCCCCCAAAAAATGTTTTCCCTTTCAATTTAAAAACCCCAAGCCACGAATAAGTTTTCCACAGTTTTCAGCTGAAAAGTTTATTCCGAAAGCTTTTAACTTGCTTTATTTTTTATTTTCTGTGGCAAGCAACCACCAAATGGATTGTGGCAATCGGTTAATGTGCGTCTCGGATTGCCAATTAAGAGTATTATTTGTACTCGAAGATAGTTCAGGGACAGGCACATGATTCCTTCCTCAGCTTATTTCGATTCTCTCCCTGATTGGCATTTAAAATTTCATTAAAATACTTTTCGCAATCGACACTCTTCTTATTTGTGTTTTATGTAAGAAGGATATTAACCATTTTCATCATTATCCAGTGGACAGCAACTGTGTGTACTTCGCCACACGTGACCACCGTCGTCGTCACACATTTTATCCTGAGAGAGATACTCGTCCTCGTCCACGCACGTCCTGGCCACAATATTTTCAATTTATTTCGTCGTCATGTTGGCCGTTATTAAATATATATTGGATTGTACGTAAACCGAATTAAATTCGCATTTCAGCGTTAAAGTGCCAAAGTGAAAAACGCAAAAATTAACATAATTCACTTGACTCCTTTTACGACCTACAACTCACTCGCTGGTTAAGTTAACAATAATTTGTTTTGTCAACACAAAAGGCCAAATTCAATTACAGTTTCATCCACCAAGCCCCCTTTTGAGCCACAAAAGCCAACCAACACAGACAATGAGCTTAGGAGAGCCTTATACATATGTGTGAGTTTTGTGTGTGAAAGTTAGCCCCGGAAAAATGGTAAAAACTTGAGGAAAGAATAAATGTGTAGCCAAGGTTATAATGCTACAAAAGTGTTGCTTGTGTGTGTGTGAAAGTTGTAACTTTTTAATTTGATTTGTTCGTGCTATTTCTTTTTCACAGCCTTTTAATTTCTTTTTGGTTTTCTCCTCTTTTAATTATGACGCCTCTTTGGGGGTGAGTGAAAAGTTTTTCACATCTGCTACCGGTCTAGGAAAATTCATATCTTGCACTCTCTGTCAAAGTTGCGAAATTCTTTTCACTTTACCAACAGATTGGTTGCCGAGAAAGGATTAAGAGAAACACTACTAAGAAAAACCAAAATTACGGTCCAAAGATATATATTTTTCCAGATAAAAATGGCACGGTCCCAATACAAATTCGTAGTCAAAATAGAAATGATTCATAGTGCCGCCATATCCAGAGGATTACATTTAGCCCAGGTAATTACAGGTTCTCATCACACTTCATAAGATGAAACAACTTCATGATGTACGGTTCCGGTTCTCATCGGACTTCATAAGATGGTACAGTAAAACTTTATGAACGGACGGTTCCGGTTCTCATCAGAATTTATTTAATGGCAAATCCACCATCTTGATGAATTGATAGTTCCGGGCACTGATGCGGCTCTTCTTAACAGTTGGCGCGACATTTTGATTACGATTACGAATTTGGACGGTTGAGTTCAACTGTTGAAATTTTGGCGAGTTGCGTACCAGATTTACCACAGTCGGCATTATATATAACAAATTTCGAATCATATTTATACAGATCTAAAAAACTGATTTGCTCCAAAAGGAGAATACTATTACGAAAATGATTTTTACGATTCTAACTAAACAGATGCGATGCTAATACTGAAATGTAAACGTTACGGGTTCTGACTTTGTAATGAAAAGTAACAGTTCTAGAGTCGCCTACTTGGATTTCACATTGAACAAAGAAAGGAAATTATAACTTTGGAAAACCGAAGTTTATGAAACCTTGAAATTTATTCTGAAAAATAGGATAAAGTCTAAAATCAATCCATAACTTTGCTTGAAAATTTGCATTCCTTGAAGGAATATTTATCAAGTTTTTATTGACAATATTTTCGATAAATCAAAGTTTAAAAATCTTATAACTAAGCCAAAAATTCATTAATTTCAATTCGGCAAGCTGTGCTGTGCTAGTTTTTAATAGATTAATAAATCTGCATACCTGAATTCAATTTTTAAAATATTTACATTTTTGTCAATTTTTCAAGATTTCAACAATGTAAAAACCTGTCCAAAAACTAAAAAAAAAAACTGAAAATTTTGTTTTCTTTTAACATGCCCAGAAAGATTCGCCTGTTGATGCTGATCAAGAATATATATGATTTATAGGGTCGCAAATGACTTCTTCAAAGCGTTTTAAGCTTTTGACTGAAAGTATAATACCCTGCAAGGGCGATATTTATCTACATGGCGATTTTTCTATAACCCTCAGCTTGAAAAACTCTTAACTTATCCAAAAATGCATTAATTTTGATTCCAAAAGCTGTTCCGTGCTAGTTTTTAAGAGGTTAATAAATCTCCATACCTAAACTACTTTTTTAAAATATTTCCTTTTTTGTCAATTTTTTTAACATGTCAACAATGAAAAATCCTGTTAAAAATATTATGAAAAAAATTTCAAAAACATTTTTCTTTCCTTAATACCTAGAAAGTTTCGCGTTTTGATGCTGATCTGGAATATATATGCTTTATAGGGTCGGAAATGACTCCTTCACTCCGTTTTAAGCATCTGACTGAACATAAAATATATTGCAGGGGTATGAAACATCTTAAGTAGTCTCTTTAATTTGCTTTCTGGATTGAAGTTCGAGAGAAAACATTGCTTCCTTCGCTTTCCTGTATCTGCATTTCTCTATTTTTTACCTTATTAATTAACCCATTTTCCTCACTGTATTTTTGCATTTTTTAGGAGAAGGCCTGTGACGTTGGCCAAACTTAGTTTGCTGCCAATAAATCAAATTCTCAATCACATCAGGACGAGAGTGAGTGAGCATCGAGGCAATTTTTACTTTCCTGCTTTTACCCTGATTTCTCCGCCCCCTCCCCCCTCCCCCTCTCAAGGCCATTAATCAATCAAATCAAGAGAGAGCCGACAGCGTGAGAGAGATGCCAAAACTGACACCGAAATGGGGACAAACGCAAGGATGATGGATCTCAAGTCCAACCATGTGGACATTTGACCAAGTTTAAAGCTCTCCCAGTTGATATCTCTGACTTAATTAAAGTGCATTTAATTAAGCTCAACGAGAGACCAACTAAATCGAGATAAGACTTTGGGGGAAAACATCTGGGGAAACATGGACAAACTCGGGGCAAGACTCGGGGGCAGCAACCGAAGCCATCAAATGTTGCTAAGTCAGTCGACGACACATTGCCAGGGGCAATAATCGCAATTTAATATTCATGACGTTCTCACAGTCAATGTATTTGGGAAATTTCACCCAAGAATTGCAACTGTTGACGGGGGCTAAAGAAATGCCAGCAGACATGAGTACTTTTTTATTCACTTTACTTTTATGTGCGCCCTTTTTTTTTTCTTTTTGTGGCAGGCGACCAAAGTTGGCGGAAAAACTCTGCGGGGCACAAAAAAAGTGAAAGACATTTATGGAAAAGTTCTTTGAGTTGGGGAAAACTGTTTAATTTGTAATATTTTATGATGTTATTGACAATTGAAGCCTAAAAAACATGAAAGATTCTCTATAAATCTAGTAACTTTTGCATTTTAAATCTTTTTAACATACTTCAAGGCTGTTTAATCATTTTGTATTTCAAAATTTCACCTAATCCATCAAGATCCTGTCTTTATTTACTTTTTTGTCGCCTGTGCATAACACTCATGTTTTTGGATCCCCTTGGCAAGTGTTTGCTCCAATGTCGTACATTCAATAAGCAACGAACCCAATTTTCCCGCTCTTCGGCAGCAGCCTCTCGTCTTGGCCCAAAGCTGACACCCTTTGCTCATCTGTTATTTATCATACTGTGCCGTATCCTGGCACCCTTCCCCCTTTTTATTATTTTTTTTTTGCTTTCTTTCATCCTCCACAAAGGACCACAGCGC